AGGGTTACATGTAACACCCAATTGTGCATCTAATGTGGTGGTCATACACATAAACATTTACATAATACTCCCCCTTGGATGACCACTAGAATGCATTACGCTATCTCATGGTGCCTCATTAAAACCTTACCACGAAAACCTAGTGGGAAAAAACCATGGTTAAGGAAAAAAAAAGTGCAGCGCGTATATGCTCCCCCTCATGACAACATCAAAGTGTAGTTTTGTGAACATAACTTTCAAATATAGTCATGGTAAGTTTCTTAGTGAGCAAATCTTCTAGATTGTCACTTTATGCATGATCTATTATGACCATTTTCTTCACACATGATCTTCAGTATACTTTTCTATGAAAATAGTCCATAACCTTAGGTCATTTAGACGTGTTGAATCAAAAATCTTAACCAAAATATTCATAACATGTCTCATGAATGCTACATATTGTGCATGATCTGATGATACAACATTTTTTATTTGTTTAGAATCTCCATGAGATAGTTGTACGACCAAATAACTCATCTTTGATCATCATCATTACCTGAAGGTAACGAAGTATAAGCTCAACTCTGTTTGATTGTCATATACAGAGACACTAAATGAAATTCTACATGGCGTGTTGCTAGCAAGATACATCAGCACTCTAATGACATAAATATACGGTACTTCAAGACCTAATCATTCATTTATATCTCAAGGCCTAATGGATTCTTTGTCACTTCTAGTGACCTTATGATCATTATGCTATTGAATGTAAGTATTTTTTTCATACAAAATTGCCCTTTCACTTTTTCGACATTGTCGTACTGATTCAAAAAGGATCTTCTTAAATCCTTCATGTTCAATTTTCTTTCTTTAAGCAATCCATGTTGTATGAAACTCTTCTAGAGTTCAATTTTCTTTCTTTAAGCAAACCATGCTTAAGCTCTTCTGGAGTTCATATCAACTAAAACATATGAGATCATTATTATAAAATAATGTCTCAACTATTTTCTTCTAAATAAATATAAAACTTAGCTAACACAATTGTATGCAAGCAATTATTTCATACCATAAGGTCATAAGCAAAATCACACAACATCAATTAACCAAACTACCCTCATAAATAAAAAATCATACATGTCACACGCATAAGCCTATATGTCAATAAAATCATACATACCAAATGCAAATGCTCTGATGCATTAAATGAATATGCCATATTCATCCATTTTGTCTCAATCCATTCTAGGGATTGGTCATTTGATCGATAAATGTTCTCGAGAATGTAACATGTTTGCTTCCGGCAAACTAATCCTTCAGGGAGGTTCGTATAAATATCATTATCAAAAGGGATCCATACAAATAGGATATCACAATGTCTACCATATGCAGATTTCACCCTTCTTGAACTGCCAAACTATTAAATTTCACAATATAGTTGCATCCACCACAAGAGAGTATGTCCTCTCATTAGTAATGTTAGGTTTCTACGAGAAACCTCTTATGAGAAATTGTGCTATATTCCTCACAATTTCACACATTTCCTTACGCATTTGTATAAAACCTATTTGTATCCCGTTATTTTTACATCTTTGGGTGTAAGGACTTCTGGTCCAAAACTTTTATCAGGTAAGTCTAATGCTTTCTTTTATCTTTGCCAATATATATTCCTTTGTATGCATCAATTAGAATTTTACTTTTGATCCTCTTTGTATCTATCACGTTCAGTGCTGCAGCATAATCAACACCCTTGTCGACAATAAATACAATTTTCCAACTTTTTTCATACAAGCCAATTAATTGAGATCTCTTCATTTTAAAACTTTCAGGTACCTACTGTTCTTCTGGAACTATGATCTCAATTATATGACTTGACTCTTCTAGAGCTATTTATCTTCGATTTGACCATCTTTATTTATAGCTCCTTTCTTTCTCGATGATTTTTATCTTTGGAACCGATTGGTCTACCACCCTTCATGCGCTCGTTTAGACTCATTAGATTATCCAATATGGATATTAATTTGTATTGGAGCATTCACAATTGGGCATGTGACATAATCACTCCTTTTAGTGAGTAAAAGGCGTTTGACAATCGATACATTTTTTTCTCTCCATGAATCACCACATGAACTTCGGGTTCATGTTTCTTTGTTTGAGGATCAAAATGAGATAATGATGATTCCAACTCACATCTATGCCCAACTGTTTACTTTTTTTCCCCTTCGCGTTCAAAAAGTAATTCATCAAAATGATGATATTAGAAAAAAGAGTCATGGACAAATCTCTCATTGCAATGGACACCATGTCCAACATAAGTTCTCATGGAACTCATAACATATTGTGGTGGAGCAATTGGGATGTATTCTGCACACCCAAATTTTCTAGCATTTGAAATATTTGGTCCATGACCAAAACCATTTGTATTAAAGGGGGGAACTTTTGATAACTTGTTGATTTCATGCGAATTAATGATACTATATGCTAACAAGCATGCCTCGACATGAGATCATAGGCTTAGCTTGTTCTCATAAGAGAATTTGTGTTTGATTGGATAATCATTAAAATATATCCATCATTCAACAATGAATCTCGCAATAATCAGGTTGCGGTAGATAACATATATATGATGATAAGGTTGATGCATCAACCAAAATCATAAAATTCATATATGATTTGCAAGGTGAGTGTATTTTTATGCATACACATTTATAAAATCTCAACATATTAATCTATTTGATTGATGAATTCTCTAAACTCTCACTTAATTTCCACATGATATCTCAATCAATTTTTTCCGCATTTGTATCCGGGATGGTATAACCGAACATGCCAAAACAAAAAGTTATCCGATATTGTAAACTTCTAGTTTACACTTTCATATGTACTAATATACATTTAGTACAAATTTCTCCAGTTAAGTATATGTTCTCTTAGAACACAAAGCTGATGCAATATCAATTATGATATTCGTTTTTGCGAATATCTTCATAATTCTGTAATGCAACTTCAACTGTCAGTTTAGTTCCTTCGCGTCTCAAAACATTAGCTCTTCTGGAGCCATCACATACTCTTGTACAACATTTTGGTCATTAGGCACCTTCTGATTTCGGTGAACTATTGTGAGCACATATCCATAGTGATAAGAATAATGTTTAGTTACTTCAAGTAACAAAACACAATCTCTTCCAGAGCTTTTCCTTACTTTCATACTATATGATATAATACTAGTATTGACTTTTGAAAATATTCATTCTATACAAAAGTATACAAAATAATAATAATAACATCAATATATATGTGTTTCATTACACATTTCGACATATAGAGGTTATAGTATATGATCATGACTTTTGCTACATGAATTCTTGTGTCATCCTCATTTATAATAATTTTATCTTTCACTTCTAGTGAAAAGAAAAATTTGCTGATTGTCGTTATCCAAACTTCCGGTGTATTTTTTTCCATCGCAATGGTAACTCATATTTTTGACATTTTTGTTACCAGATCCACTTCTTTCATTTGACATATTTTTCTTCATTTTTCCACTTCGGGGGGAAATGAGATCTTTAGACTTTCATTTCTCTATATGTCTAATGTAGCAATCGATAAGTCAACTCATATTGATTTTGCTACAACAGGAGCAATTTTCATTATCTGATAATATCCAAGCACAAACTCTATGTTACAAGATCGACAAATATAAAATAAGTTCATAAAATAATATGAACAAATAACAAGATCAAATAATCTCTCAAAGACAATGAGATAAATAAACATACTACCAAGAAACGACATGAAAATTTGTATACCTTGATCGTGTTGTGATCTTACTTAAGTATATTTGATTCTGTAGACAGACAATCACCAACCATGACTTTAGCAAAACTTCATGTTGATAACGTGTTATGAAATAACAAGGAAGAGGAACATACACAAGAGTAAGAGTAGAGACACAAGAAGAGAGGGGGAATAGAGCTTTCTTATTCCCGTGTTCCTTAGTACAAGGAGATTATCTATTTATAGGCACACATCACATAACCTCTACATTCTTACAATTAATATACATAAATGTGAAAATGAATATGAATTAGAAATGGAGTGGGGGGTTACATCACTAAAAGAAAACTAGTCTATAGAGGCAAATAATTAAAGGCAATTGTTATAGTGGTCTCTATAGCTAAGCTTTAGGGGCAAATATATCATTTGTCTCTAGAGGCAAATCTAATGGTCTTCAGAGACAAATACAAATGTTACTTATATTTAGGTCATATAGAGACAAATTTAATAGTCTTTAGATGCAAATATAAATGCTCCTTATACATATATTATATAGACGCAAATCTAATAGTATTTAGAGACAAATACAGATGTCTCTTATAATTTTGTCATATGGAGACAAATACAATAATCTTTATAGACAAATACAAATGTCACTTATAGTTATGTCATTTGAAAGACAATTTTAATAGTCTTTAGAGACAAATATAAAAATTACTTATACCCATATTATATACTTACTATGTAGAGACAAATACATATCATCCTAAAATACTAATTTGAATTGGTTATGGGTGTAGGTTTCTGATACTTGATTAACAAGATGAACTGCTTTGATATTTCCATAGAAACCAAAATGAACAGAAGATATGGATATATTTGAAACCAATTTCTAAAAATTCTCGTAGAAGGTGTAGAACACTTCAAAACAAGAAGCCACAATTTCAAGTTTATTTGACATTTCCAACATGTTACCAACCTCTTTTCCAGGATTTCAAGATTACCGGCCCATCATCAGCGGCGCTAATGGGAAGCGGCAGTGGGGCGGACTGCGGAGGGAGGGGTATGTGGTTATTAAACGAGAAAAGGAGGCAATGGGGGGAAAATATCACTGATGCCGCCCAAACTTTCCACAAACTTTCTTTCCTCCGTCTTTCAAAAACGAAGGCAACCTTTGGCCTCCTCTGTCCTCATTCTGGTGGAATAAACCCTACCGATGCGGCTGGAATCGACGGCGGCTTATCAGGATGAAAGGTGAGAGACGCGTCGGCTTTGCTGCTGTGGAGTTGGCACAACAATCGCTATTGACGACGAAAGGTAAGCGGTTTTCAACTGTTGATTTAGCCATCCCCTCCAGATCTGAGCAAAAATCGGTGACGTTTCCTCCTCCTCCCACAGATTTAGTTATCCCCTTTCTGAGTTTCCTCACATCGAACTCGTCGACGTTACTACTCCTCTTCACTTTCCTGGATCGAGGTTGCAAATCTCTTTAGATTTGGCGATAGCAATCAACGTTGAGCCAGTCACTCGCAATAATCGGCTTCACTGGTTGGAGGAAACAGAGGCTATGAGTGTGCTAGAGACATAAACAAAGGGTTTCTCTATCATTAGTGTTTTGGTTTCACTGTTAATCATCTGTTGTCCTTGCAGATCTGGGGTATTGATTTAGTGGACTTCGCTTGAGCTGGATTTGGACTTCATATGAAGATCTCCGATGTTTTTCGTTGGTGTTCCAGTAGTTAATCGAATGAGGGTGGAGCTTCTTCGCGTGTTCTCCCGATCTGTTTGTTTGGGGTTGGATCGAAGAAGCAGCTGCAGCAGAGGCCTCAATTGAATCAATCTGTTCTGTAGGCAGTTGTTTGAGATTTGGTCAAGTAAAAAAAAAAAGGAGAGTAGACCCAATGTATTCTTTATTTATTTTTGTATTTATGTTTTTATGGCCAATGTTTTCATGTATTTTGAGAATAAATCATGGTAAAGGAAACCGTACCGGAAGTCATACCGGCTCCGCCAGTGGTAGGGTATTTTGTGGTACTACCGTGGTTCAATCGTTGTGTACCGGCAAAATACCATTTTTATAAATAAATAATATTTTTTTGTGAAAAAACCGTACCGGCAGATTTGTGATACCGTCTCGGAATAATACCGGAATAAAACCGGAATATACCGGATAACAAACCTGAATAAACTAAATAAGCATATGTAATATAAAATTCAACAAACTGCAACATTACTGAATTAACTACATAATCGTTCAAATGCATGTTTACGATCGAGTACAAACAACATTCTTAAACCACAAGTTCAAACAACATTCTCAAACCACAAGTTCACAACTACCACAAACACAAACTAGCAAACACTACAATGTTCACAAACAACGTTTCATATTGTCAAACAACACCAAATGTAGATAAGTCAACATTCTCCAAGTCGTCCCCTTCATCTTCTTCATCACCAACTACAATACAAGAGAAAACAAGTAAGAATTATTATCAATTATTAGTATTAGAATTCATATCATACATAATTGATTTACAAACAAACCTTCCTCTTCTAATGCTCGATCCAGCTCATCAATATCCAATTCATTTTCCCTAGAAGATGAACCTTCTTCCCCTTCTGACAACCAGTGACTAGTAACAGTAGAATCAATGCTTTCAAGGCTTATGGGATCATATGATTCTTTTTTGTTCTTGGTATAATACTCCCTAATCAAAGTAGAAAACATAAAATAATTCAATTCAATAGTAAGCATAGAAAGTATGAATTGAACACACAAGTTATATAATTCAAATCCTTACCTATTCTGCAATCGCAAGTTGTAATTCACAAACACCAAGTTACTAAGCACTTTATGCTGCAATCTGTTTCTTCTTTTGGTATGCACACGTTCAAAGACACTCCAATTACGTTCACAACCAGAAGAAGCAGCAGTTTGGCTAAGAATTCGAATAGCCAACTTCTGAATATTTGGAGCATCAATGCCAAACCATTTCCACCACTTATCTACATATAAAACATAGATGTTATTTCTTAAATATTGTAATAAATAGAAGAACTTCAATGTAAGTGATATTAATTACCTGGTTGTTGTTTCTGTGCAGAATCTATTGCCATCTTCCTCCCAAAGTTTCCTTCCTTTTCAGCATACAAATTCATCTCCGCCACCACCACACCATTATCAGGACATAAAGACGAGTTCTCAAGAAGATTAAGAAGTCCAAATGTCACCCACCTATCCTCTGTCCAATCTTCATCATACTTCATAGCCGGATTAAGATAGTGAGCTGCCATAAACAAATCACGGCTCAAGTGCTTATCCCATCTCCTATTAACGATATCCATGTATGGTTTGTACATCTCCTCCTTATCTCCACAAACAGTCTTAATAGCATTTGACACCCTAGTCATCCCATCATACACATACCCCATTGCTGGTTTACTATCTGAATCCACAACTCGAAGCAACTTAACAATCGGAGCTGTCAACTTAACAATGAAGTCACAATCAGCCCAAAACTGTTGATCTAGTACAATTGCCTTCACATCCTTTCCATCCTTAGTACTTGAAAGATCACTTTCTCTAAAGAACTCACTAATCACCAGTTCCTCCAAATCATGCATGTGCTCAAAAGTACTCTGCAAACTCAGAAATGTAGTAGCAAATCTAGTAGCACCAGGTCTCACTATTTCTTTCCAATTCTCCTTTGTCTTCAACCAGAAATAAATTGGACCATGATTGTAAACAAATTTGGAGACCTTGGTAGCTCGATAGGCAAGCTTCTTAACATGAGGAATAGATCCAATGTCACTCAAGATCAAGTTAAGGGTATGAGCAACACAAGGAGTCCAATATATATGACCATAATGCTCATGTATCATTGTCCCTGCCAATTTATAGTTGGATGCATTATCGGTCACCACATGAACAACATTTTCTGCTCCAACCCAATCAATGACCTCAGAAAATAACTTAAACAAGTTCCTTCCACTCTTGACCAAACCAGAAGCATCAATGGACTTCACAAAGCATGTTCCAGCAGGAGAATACACAAGAAAATTGATTAAGGATCTACGCCTATTATCCGTCCAACCATCCGCCATAATAGTGCATCCAGATTCCTTCCAATGAGACCTCAAACTCTCAATCAATAGGTGACATTCATTCACAATGCTATCCAACAAAGTAAACCTCAAAGCATAATATGTAGGACCGCCATAACCAGGACCAAGAGTCATAGAAGCATCCAATGCTATTTTAAATTGTGGAGATTTAATTGCTTCTAAAGGAACACATGCATCATAGAACCATCTAGCCCATGCTCGATCCACATACAATACAGCTTCTTTAGTTGCTAATGCACTCTTTATTCCCGGTTGACTACCGGAAGATGACCGTGGAGCAAAGAAAGTGTCAACCGAGCCCGTAGACAAATTAGGAGCAACTCTTTTAGCACTATTATCATCTTGTGCACTAGAAGAATTTGTATCACGAGGTTCTTTAAATCCAGCTTTGACAACTTCAGATTTCTTTTTACTAGTGTCATAAGACTTCAATAGCTTCTGCATGTTTTCGCTCACCTCTTCCGGAACACTTGAGCATATTGCATTATCCCCACTAACACCAGCTAGATGTTTTTTTATTCTAGTGATTCCTCCACCTCTAAATTCTTTTTGACAATAGAGACAAGTGAGTACCTCCACTTTTCCATCCTGATGCAAGGAACAATGAGCCCAAGTTGGATCACTTTTGCTTCGTACACCCTTTGCGGTAACCTTCGGATTACTAGCAGTTGCTCCTTTATCAACCGATCCGACTTCTTTCCCACTAGCCATTGCTGTCAAAACAGTCAAAATTCTCATTAGAATAAAGGGTTAGAAGAACCAATATTAGTTAGAGAACCAATAAATGAAGCAGATCATGGAAGTGGACGTGATTATTGGACATCATTAACACTCTAAGTAGGCAAGTCCAAGCTGTGACACAAAACAACAAGATGGATTTATCTAGAATTACTCGAAACAGAAAGATCATCTAGATTTATCTAGAATTACACAAAACAACAAGCTGTAACACTATGATGATAATAGTGTTATGAACATTATGTCGATTTGAACCATTATGATCTGAAAATTTTTAGGTTCTCTGACCTCCTTAGAATTACTTCTCACTCATTGCATGAATGATCCCTCCCGTATGACCTAAAGTTGATTAACTCATGACGATGCAGGAGCATTGCAAAAAGGCAATTGTTTGCTTTGAAATCGGTTCCTTAATAAGGGAAAAAGGTTTCTCCACTCTCCCACAACTACGAGTACCATACAAACATGTGTCCCTTTACAATTCCTCTCTTCCTACTCATCTTGTCAATTATAGAGCTATACTCAAACCATGATTAGTGTTCAGAAGGAAACCAAAGTAGAAGAAACCAGCCAATGAGACACGATGAATGATGACTCCAATTTCTTGCATGATGATGGGTCTCTTCCATAATGGTATTTTCTTTTGGAGGAGGGCCTTTAAGGTTAAGTAGTTGTTTATTCTCCTAAGTACCTGCTGCCGCCGTGTTCTTCTTGAGCAGGGGAGGGACTAGGGAGACGCGGCGGAGAAGAGTGGCAGAGCAGCGGCGGAGTAGCGGCGGAATAGAGGCGGAGTAGAGGAGGTTTCTTCTTGAGGCGTGCCCTGGTCGCCGGTCGTTTTCTTCTTGAGCCGGTGCCGGAGACGATCGCCGGTCGTCGAGCAGAGGAGGGAGGGTCGCCTTCTCGTCCTCGAAAAGAAGAGGAATCGCAGCGGCAGCAAACGAAGCGAAGCGATGATTAGGGTTTTGGTTTTAGGCTTCGGCCGATTAAATTTTTTTTTCCTTCCCTTAATGCAAAACGACGCCGTTTCCACTATATCAGCTCACCCCCGGTTAGACCAAAACCGGGCGGTTTTTTTAGTTGAGTCGGTTGTGCCGGTAAAACCGACCAAAACGGCTCTTTCCCCACAGCCCGTCTGTCGTACCGGTCAGGCACCGAAATTCGGTTTTACCGGTTCGACCGGCCGGTCCGATCCGGTTTAATTTACCATGGAATAAATGTATTAAAATGTTATTAATAAAATTTGAATTGTTATTTTATTTGTCTAATTGAATGTAAAATTTAAAATATTAATGAAAATTATGAAAGTTGAAATAAAAAGCACAAATATTTGCTCACAATGCAAATATTTGCTTCGGTAAGGTGTTCTAGAAAAAATTATAATTGTCTCCAAAACTAGAAATAGGAACAAAATCATTTCTCTATAAAATCAAATAAGAAGAGAAAAAGATAGGTTCTTAATTAGAAGCAAATATTATTTGCATCTATATTTGCTTCTAAATAGAATTAGACAGAGGCGTCCGATGCAAATAATTTATTTGCTTGAAAAGTTATACAGAAACAAATAACTGGCTTTTAGACGCAAATAACCTCTGACTCTATAACCGGGTTTTCTTGTAGTGCATGTAACACCCAATTGTGCATCTAATGTGGTGGTCATCTACATAAATATTTACATAATAATAATGTATTTATTATTATGATTCTTTTAATTTTATATTTATTGATTTATTTAATTAATAGGGGTATCCTCTTCTTCTTAAAACCCAAAAAGGGAGTTCGAAGAAACACCTCGCACAAAGAGAGCCTCCGCCTCCGCCACCGTTCGAAGCCTCACTGCCAAAAGGCAACAGAAAGGATGCCAATGACGGCGGTAGGTGTGCGCGGGATCGAGACTCCGAGTGAAGGAAGGAGATCAGGGATTCGAAGGGGTTGCGGGAGTAGGTCGTGAATCAAAGCCTCAACCCGTCACTAAATTTCCTCGCCTCCTCCACTTCATCATTCCTTAGTCAGTCCGCCGCCGCTTGATAGTCTGATTTGAGTCGAAAACGACCGTCCGCTTCCAGTCCCTTTGTCCAGGCAAGCTTGCTGCATCTGGATCTTCCCCCGGCCGGTCGGTAAGTGCTTCTTCCTTCACTAATTGATGGTTACGGTCCCATGTGCGCATCATGTGTTCTTCCATATGATTTGTTGTGTTGGTGAACCCTAGGTAGGAGGAGCTATTTAACCGGCTGCAGCCACTCTCTCCAATCGATTGGGGATATCGTATAATTAACCCTAATTAGTAATTAATTACCTAGCTGCATTTTGTAGCAGCAGAGAAAGCCTAGCTCGAGCGCCGGCCGCCACCAATGGACTACAGCCAACTGCCTGAGGATATAGTAGAGCAGATAGCAAGCCACCACTTGCACATCTTTTCCCAGCTCATCGCCTTCTCCCTCGTCTGCCGATCATGGAGATCCGCCGCTCTTAGGAGGCGCCGTGACGCCCTACTATGCCTTCCTGGCCTCCTCGTCTTAACCACAAAATCAGCCGCCGCCGCCACCGCCACAGCCGATCCTTCCGGATTCCGATCCGCTTCATCTCTCCACTGGAGGCCACGCCCACATGACTTCCTTCCGCTCACCATGCTAAGCCATCGTAATAATGATCAACAACAAATTATGCTCCCCTCCGTCGCGCTCCCTCACTTCACATCGCGATCTTCCCACATCGACCGTTTCGAGGGGAAAATCATCCAGCACAAACACTACGTGGCGTCAAAAGACGGGTGGCTCCTCTCATCATCCCCGCTTCCACCTTTTCGACGATGATCACCTTCTACCTTCTCAACCCAATCACCGAATCCTCCTTCCATCTGCCTCCTCTCCCTTTCAACGCCAACCGTCATACCGTCCACAAAGCCATCATCTCATCTTCCCTCGAGGAGGACGACGACTGCCACGTCTTCGTTCTCTTCGACTCCACGCCCCGATTAGCATGGTGCAACGTGCATGCCAGGGACGACGGTTGGAGGAGGATATTGTCAAGAACCAGTTGATTCCAATAACTCGAGTTGTTGGGAGAGGTTCAATCGTGGATCATATACCACAAGTCCACAACACTAACACGCCCCCTCAAACGAAAGCCACTCACAAGGGCTTGAAGTTTGCACAGGTCTGAAGACAAGAATACCATGTGCTTAACAAATGGGGGTCACCGGGAATCGAACACAAGACCTCTCAGTCACAGAAGGCTCTGATACCATGTCAAGAACCAGTCGATCCCAATAACTCAAGTTGTTGGGAGAGGTTCAATCGTGGATCATATACCACAACACTACCAGCTATGTTACCTGTGATTACTGTGGCGTCTTCAATCTCAAGGATCAGACGGTCAAAAGGTTTGCTGATTGGGATGGTGATAATAACGTGACCACCACATGTACTTTCTGGTTCCTGCCCATGCCCTGGTAATCATTTCATTTTTCTGTATATCTTCTCTTCTGATTGTTTTAAATTGTTGTTTTTGTTTCTTTACTCATTTCTCGTTGACTTGGGATGTACGAATAATATCCATGAGCATAGAGAAGGTCAAGAAAGGATGTTTCAGCAAAGGCAGACAGGGCCGGGCGTTGGCATAGCAAACTCAAAGACCAATTACAGAAAACATGATCATCAACGTGAAGGTACTAATAACAAGGTTAGTACTGGACGACTAGCTAACAAATTCTGTTGGGGATGTGGCTAAGAGACTCCCCGCAGAGACTAAGTAATACCGCGTCCAATCGACAACGTATGACGCTCTAAACCCGCTACGAGTATATAAAGGTATGAAACCCACCAAGGAAAGGGGTCTCCTCTCTCTCCTCACTTTCCACTTCTTACTATCTCTCTACACTTTATCTCTCTATCTATTCTCTCAACTCTCTCCACAAACAGACACTGACTTGATCGTCGGAGCTTAATCCGGGGGCAACCCCGACTCTTTCACAGGTTTCTTCCCTCCCGACGAGACCAGACGAACGGATGACGAGTCGACCCACACAACAAATATCATTGTTCATGTCCTGAGCTAGTTGGCACAAACAATTGGCGCCCACCGTGGGGCTGACTGGTGCATTCTTTAGTCTGATTTCTGAAGGGGAAAAGATCGCCTCCCCCGCCAAAAACTTGAAGATTCAATATCCATCCCTGAAGACGAAAATAAAACCCATCAGAGGTTGAAGAAAAAGGGGACTCGACTTTCTGCCCTGCCAGGCCATTAACGTCAACAACTAAGAAGAGCAGCAACAATTATTTCTTAATCCGAGCTCCTGCTTGTCTCATTTCAGCAAAAGAAAACAGCTCCCACGCTCGTTGCCATCCCCAAACTCGATCTGCAAACTACAACACCAGCTACGAGCAACAACAGTCGCTGCAATCTGAAAGAAGAAAAAGAAAAAAAAAACCACCGGCGATATGTCACTGCCTGATCTCAGACGACGGAAAGAACAGATGGCCGCAGCTCCTGTCACTCTCTCGTCCCCAAAGTTCTCCAACTTTTGGCCCTCAAAGTCAAAAAGCAGACCTGTCCATCTACAGTGCATAGCAAAAAGTAGAGAAAATGTCACTTTACTTTTTCAGAAAATGAGTTTCTGTCAGAAAGAGGAGTTGGGAGAGTTATCGAGGCAATCTCCACTTTCTCCCTCCTGCTGCAAGGGTTTCATTACCCTAGCCCGCTCGCCGAGGCCCAAATGGACAAGATCGGCCCGCCCCCGCGTCAAACAACCCACTAATGACGCGCCGCGCGACATCATATGCGCCCCACTCACCTAGCTCGCGGCCAATGCAACTGAGACAAAGCCCGCGCCCGAGCGGGCATCACACGCCCGCCCACTTGTTGCGGCCCACTTTCCCACTTGTCGCGGCCCACTCACCTAGCTCGCGGCCCGCGCAACTGAGACAAAGCCTGCGCCCGAGCAGCATCACAGGCCCGCCCACTTGTCGCGCCCCACTCACCTAGCTCGTGGCCCACGCAACTGAGACAAAGCCCGCGACCGAGCGGCATCACACGCCCGCCCACTTGTTGCAACTGAGACAAAGCCCGTGCCCGAGCGACATCACACGCCCGCCCACTTGTTGCGGCCCACTTCGCCAATCCCCGCAGCACTCAAAAAATGCTGCTGCCGCCAGGACTCGAACTCGCATCCTTCCTCCACCGGACGAGCATGTTAACCAGTGGACTATAGCGCGCTGTTTTTACTAAATCGTAGCGCGCCCAATCTATTCACTCTGATTCGCCTCAGCAGCTGCGCTGCACTCGCGGATTCAAGTCCGCCAGTCCATCCATTCCCCACTCGCGTATCCGGCCCACGTCACCAGCACTCGACGCGCGCAAGCCCACCGTCCGCCTGACCTCCAGTCAGGCCCACGTCACCAGCACTCGACGCGCACAAGCCCAACTCGCGGCCCAACTCGCAGGCATTCAACAGATCAGCACTCTTCAAAAAATGTCGTCGCCTCGAGGACTCTAACCCGCGCCACTCCTCCGCTAGACAAGCGACATCACCAGATGGCTACATGCAATCTTTGTTTCTCAATGGCGCAATGCCTGATTTTCAACTACTCGCGGCCCGCACTGCAAGAGGCTCAACTCGCGGCCCAACAACACGCGGCAACAATCCACGACTGACGCGCGCTTGGAAGAAGGCGGCAAGAATCCACGAATGACGCGCGCTTGGAAGAAGGCTACGAAAGTTAAAAAAAAAAATGCTACTTCCACCGTGATTTGAACCCGCGCCACTCTTCCACAAGACAAGCATGCTTACCCGCAGGCTACAGTCTCGACTTGCGACCCTTTGGCACAACACTTTCATTTTAAACAACACTCCACGCGTAGATGAAGCCCAAGGCGCGACCCAAACTCGCGGATCCGTGTTCGCCCCACCTTCATACTTCCGGCCCGCGCAACGGAGTGAAGCTGTAGAGTGCAAAATATCACAAAAATCATGTGCTTGATTGGGGATTCAAACCAGGGTTCAATCACTCGCGTGCAAGCAACATCACCAGCAGGCTACAAGCGAGCCTTGTGTTTCAACAGTGCGGCGTCTGAATATTAACATTCGCGCCCACTCAGTTCGCAAGAACAAAAAATTAGCAATAGTCATGCACTATTCGCGCCCACTCAGTTCGCAAGAACAAAAAATTAGCAATAGTCATGCACTATTCGCGCCCACTCAGTTCGTAAGAACAAGAAATTAGCAATAGTCATGCACTATTCGCGCCCACTCAGTTCGCAAGAACAAAAATTACTGTCGCGACGGTTCGAAACCGCGCCGCCTCTTCACAAGACAAGCGTCTGACCAGCAGGCAACGAGTCCTGATTTGTCACAAAAGCGCAGAGCCCCAGTTTTAATCTGCTTGCTCTGCTTCTCCAACTCAAAAGTTAAGTACTCTATCCCTATCATTATTAAATATTGAAATATTTTACCATCCTACGCGTTAATGGCGCTAATGGGAGGCAAGACGCACCCAACAACGTGGGAGATGAGAAACTCACCAAGCTCTTAAAGCCTTGAAAACTTCAAACTGGGGGTTGAAAAACATCCCGACGAGGAGAGCTCCATGAAGAATCTACAAGAGGTGAAGGCTACACGCCTTAATAAAATACGCCAACTGGGGGGCAAGACGCAAGAAGCTGGCACCACGTCAGTCAAACGCGCCACCAGCTGGGGGGCAACTGGGGTACATAGGGCCCCACCCGAAATTACCGACAAAGATGTAAAAAAATAAAATATAAGCTAGTGATGAGTTAAAACTCACCACCAGCTTGGGGGGCAATTGTTGGGGATGTGGCTAAGAGACTCCCCGCAGAGACTAAGTAATACCGCGTCCAATCGACAACGTATGACACTCTAAACCCGCTACGAGTATATAAAGGTATGAAACCCACCAAGGAAAGGGGTCTCCTCTCTCTCCTCACTTTCCACTTCTTACTATCTCTCTACACTTTATCTCTCTATCTATTCTCTCAACTCTCTCCACAAACAGACACTGACTTGATCGTCGGAGCTTAATCCGGGGGGCAACCCCGACTCTTTCACAGGTTTTTTCCCTCCCGACGAGATTAGACGAACGGATGACGAGTCGACCCACACAACAAATATCATTGTTCGTGTCCTGAGCTAGTTGGCACAAACAAATTCCAAGCATTATTGATGGATGACGACGACGAGGATGAAGATGAAAGATGATTATGGCGATGATGTGGATAAGGCTTTTAATTCTGTCTTTTATTTTCCAATTTTGCTAAATAAAAATTTCCTTTTCGAATTTGAACTTGGAGACCCATTAAGAAACAGAAAATTGATGGTTATCGTTGCTGAAAATGCTATGTAATTTTGATGGTTTGAAAGCTGGGAGATTTGTGGAGAGGAATTCAATCAACCAACGGGGAGATTTGCCCGAGACTCTTTAGCCACTAGGGACCATTTAAGCGCGAGAAGTCAGTGGCGCGGTAATGTCTGTCTATTCTGTAATACAAGGGAGACTCAGACCCATCCCTTCTCAAAATGCGTATGGTCAAGTAGATTGTGGTGTACCATCCAGATCAGTCTTTGTTTTGAGATGAGAGGAACACTTGATTGCTTGGGATGGGTAGCTAAGGTGGTAGAGACGGTCCCGACGAGTGTGTTTGAGGAGTGATGTATGTTGCTTTGGATGTTATGGAAGGAAAGAAATACTCACTATTTCAATGGGGAAAAGATGGAGGAACTGGATATAGTCCTTAGAGCACGCTCTCACCTTGATGAGTTTCACATGCATCAGACACGCGATAAAGTGGTAACAGAGCA